CAAGCCCCACTATCTTTCATGTTCATGAAGAAAAATTCCCATTGAAGTGTGATTCTAAAACAAAGCAATTTTTTTTTCCCCAGAGAGGAATTTACCTGGCATCTCTTAATTTATTTTCTTTTCTTCAAATTGTGTTTTTATTTTCTTGCAATTCTACTTAAGTCAGTTTCATGCTGGTATTCACATTAATAAGGACAGAAGTTATGCTGGATCTAGTTGAAATATTAATTATAAAAGTATAAATGGTAAAAGTACCCTGTATTCTGTAAGCCCTACTGTCACGGATTAAATTATGTCCCCCCAAAAATGTGTGTATCAGTTAGGCTGGGCCATGATTCCCAGTATTGTGTGATTGTCCTCCATTTTGTGATTGTGATTTTATGTTAAAGAGGATTAGGGTGGGATTGTAACACACTTACTAAAGTCACATCCCTCATCCAATGTAAAGGGAGCTTGCCTGGGGTGTGGCCTGTACCACCTTTTATCTAACAAGAGATAAAAGGAAAGAGAAGCAAGCAGAGAGTTGAGGACCTCATACCACCGAGAAAGCAGTGCCAGGAGCAGAGTGCATCCTTTGGACCCGAGGTTCCTGTGCAGAGAAGCTCCTAGTCCAGGGGAAGATTGATGATGACGAGGACCTTCCTCCGGAGCTGACAGAGAAAGCCTTCCCCTGGAGCTGATGCCCTGAATTTGGACTTCTAGCCTACTAGACTGTGAGAAAATAAATTTTTCTTTGTTAAAGCCATCCACTTGTGGTGTTTCTGTTGTAGCAGCACTAGATGACTAAGACACCTATTCTTCAATTCATGGTCCCTTTGTGCAGATATCTCCAGCCCTTCCTCCGAGGAAGGGAGAAGACAGATCACATTTTATAGTGCATCACCCATGTTTTGGACAGAATGTTTTCAGTTCCTCTTGGTAGAACGCTCATCTTCTCTGCAATTTTGTCCAATTTATTTCGATTACTTTTGATCCTCAGGGTCTTATGCTTATACCCTATCCCTTAATCCTGAAATGAACCTTTTTCTAGTTCCTGATCTGGCTAGGTTCTTTCTATTTTTAATATATTTCATTATAATATATTTTAAGCATATAGAAAAGTATACAAAATTAAGAAGAGACACTTGTGTTGTAATGTAACATTAACACATATTAAACCTTTGCTATGTTTTTGTCTGGTCTTTCTTTTTAAAAGAAATAAAATGTTGAAGATAGCCCTGCTGCACTGCTCTCTCAATTCTTTTCCCCCTTATCTCTCTGAGAAGTAACCAGTGGCCTGAAGTTGGTGTTTATCTTAACCTGTGTATGATTTTATACCTTGGCTACGTATGTGTGCAGCCACTAGACTCTATAGGATTATTTTGTGGGGTTGGTGTTATTTTCTCTGACTCTGCTCCCCTTGTGCAATATCCGTCTTTTCTTGCCAACCTTGTTTCCCACCGTTTCTGGAAAAGGAGGCCAGTGCAGCTGAATGCGCCCTGACCTCTGTTGTGTCCTTCCTTCTCCTTGACCTATTTCCTTCTGTTACTCTGTACCCGGTTCTTACGTGCACTCCACCATCTGATTCTACTTCATCCCTCTTTTTCTTCTTTCATTCTTGGTGTACTAGTTTTAAGCCACTTTAATTTCTATTTCTGGCCCTGAAGATCAATACAAGCTGAGTTTTTCTCTGCCTTTATTTGGGAACAGGTAAGATGATGTTACTGAAAACCTGAGCGAGAAATACAGTTTAATTATTTTAAACTGCAGAGGCACTGCTAAGGGAAAAAGAGGCAGAGCTATCTGTCTTGGAGGATCCATTACTCTAACAAATAGTTATGAATTATTTATTATGAGCATATTTGTTGTTTAAAGGTAGGGCTAAAGGCATTCACCATTATATAAATAATCTTTTTACAAAATAAATTTGATTAAAAAATACTATTTGTCCTTCTAAATATAGGTAGATAATATCTCACTTTTTGGTCTATATATAACAATGAGTTTTACATTTCTCTTTAAGTTGTCCATAGCAAAGTTTATTGGATACAGGCTTTTTTCCTTCTTTCATTGAAAGTATGTTATTTGCCTACCATTTACAAGGCTCCCTGTGAATGGAGGTGGATTGGGGCTATACTCTTTAGGGACATGCCACATTATTGTGACAGATATTCAGTGCTCACAGGAGTTTATAATCAGGTTGGAAGACATACTTAATCAGATACTACTGGAGAAGATATTTTGCAAATACTACTAGAGAGGGCATTTATTCACGTACTACTACTAGGGTGTGTATTTATTCAAAGAAAACACCTAGGGTCTGAGAGGAATGTGGAGGAGGGATGATAGTGCTGGGCATGGCCTGTGTGAGGAACTGGTTTTGTGGTATTTGATGGAAAGCAAAATTCTTGATTATATGCTTTCATACAGTCAGGAGCTGAGCTTAAGAGTGGAGTGGAGTTGCCTAAAATCTCTGTCAGCTATACCAAACAAAATCAAAATAAACCCATTGCGATCGAGTCGATTCCAATTCACAGGAATCCTATAGGACAGAGTGGAACTGTCCCATAGAGTTTGCAAGGAGCAGCTGGTGGATTTGAACTGCCGACTCTTTGGTTAGCAGCCGAGCTCTTAACCGCTGCACTTATTTATAGTCAGAGTATATCTTTGGCCTTTCTAAATGCATGACCATGGGGCCTATGCAAAGGCTATTCTTGGTTTCATTTCCCAGTATGTATTCGAGAAATAATTTAGGCCCTTCACCTTCTTTCTGAGGGCTGTGGTGGCATACTGGTTAAGAGTTTGGCTGCTAACCAAAACATCAGCAGTTCAAATCTACCAGCAGCTCCTTGGAAATCCCATGGGGGCAGTTCTGCTCTGTCCTGTAGGGTCACTATGAGTTGGAATTGACTGAACAGCAGCGGGTTTGGTTTTTGGACCTTCTTTCCATCTGCAAACCCTATATTTGCTTTCTCTGCACAGAAGCCAGAATTCCCTATATGGGCCCAACAATCTCCTCAAATGATTCGATTAAATTATAACACATGCATGCAACACATTAATGGAGTACCTACTATGGGCCCACACAACAGCTGTCAGCAGGTAGAGTAGGAGGAGAAAAATGACTTTATAACTGTAAGTGAAGCTTTTGTGGCATCTTTTAGATCTGATCTGTTTATAATTTACCATTAAACCTCTTCTTGGCAGATTTTCCTTCCTCACCATTTACTATTTAGGTACGCAATTGGCAACTTGCTATTATGTCATGCTGGAAAATACTGTGAATTAACTTTTTCACTTCTTTTCCTATTCTTAGAAAAGATCCCAGAACATTAGAACCTATGTTCATAGATGGCAAGGAGTACCAGCTGTTTTGTCCTTTCTTTCATTTTTTAATTTACTCTTTCACCTTTATTTTAGGGAAAGAGGATCTTTCATAGTTAAAAGACCATAAGGAGCATAATGAATATGCTGATGATTTATTGTTTGAAGTAGCTTTAGATTAAGGATTTTTGTAGGAAGTAAATTTTAAAAGGTTCTAAGAATGAAGCTTTGTATTTATAGATTTTAGTAAATGTGAACAGTTCTGACAAATATTTAGGGGCATCTTCCATCCTTTAAGTTTTCCCAAATGACACTACATGTTTTAAATTTCAGAAAATAGAGATTGAGAGAATAAATCAAACCTAGAGGTTTCTTCCAAAAGCCAGTGGTGTTTAGGTAAATTTGGTATTAATTATCTGTGACACACCTTGATAATTGTGCTTTTTGATGTGTGTAACTGTCTCTCTTGCTAAAGAGATTGGGATGAAATAAAAAACAATACTTTCTTGGAAGTCAGGAGATAGGAAGTTTTATGTAAGATTTTCCATAAACTTCAGTTTGATAATGAGCTTTTCTACTCTTTGTGTTTTAGGTTTGTTTGTTTTTTTTCCCATCTATAAGATAATGGTTTATTGCTCTTCTTAATACCATTATTGTCTGATTAGATATTACTTATTAAGGAGTCCCTGACTGGTGCAGATGGTCAGGCACTCAGCTCCTAACCACAGGGTTGGTGGTTTAAGTCCACCCAGAGGTACCTTAGAAGAAAGGTCTGGAAATCTACCTCCAAAAAATCAGCCATGAAAACCCTATGGAGCAGTTCTACTCTGACATACATGGGGTCACCATGAGTCAGAGTTGACTTGACAGCACCTGGTTATTAAGCATCTAGTATGTGCCTAGTACTGAGTCGAGAGGGATTTTACATGGTTCATCTCATTGAATCATCAACGATCCAAAACATGGACTCAGAACTCTGACTGCAGCTCGCTACACTGAAGCAGTAGTTCCTAAGCAGTCTTCAGACTGTGTCTGTCCATCGTGAAATTTCTCCCAGCATATGGGAAGTAAGAATAAAGAGGTCACGTTGAGAAATTTTCATAAAGCTAAAGGTATAGATTCCATTATTCCTTTCTTCATTTGTTTACAAATTAATATCATTTGGTTTATGAAATAATAGTGATAAACATAGTGATAAAGAAAGCTTTTTATATGTCCCCGTTTCTCAAAACATTTGCAACTCTTTGTGGGCTCTACCCTCCCTGTCTTCTTTAATCTTTCTACTTGTTTGTAGATCTAAAAACCTGGCAACACCTGACTTTAAAAATATATATTTTGTCACATCCCAACCCTGTGAATGTGTACATGCTAATTTTCAGACCAGAGCTGTTAAAATATGAAGGGAAGGAAAGTATTTTTAGACATTTAACAGCTATCTAACAATTATTTAGAGTTTAAATTTAATGTAGTTTCATATGTTGCAACTTCATTCTGATTGAGCCTCGTCTTCGTTGGGCTTTACATATGATTTTTTAATATAACTTTTGGCAAGAATCATTTTTCAAGGAAATGTTATTACTCTCTGGAAGGTTTTCCTTTCCCACCTTTCACTAAAGCTCTTGTTTAAAAGTAACCTTGATTTGTCATCTGTTGGTCTTCGTCAATGCTGACAGTGCTTTGCTTTCCTATTTCTTTAGTGATACAAATGAGGTTGACATACCACCCAACACTAGAGTTGGCACCAAACGCTATATGCCTCCTGAAGTGTTGGATGAGAGCTTGAATCGAAATCACTTTCAGTCTTATATCATGGCCGACATGTACAGTTTTGGACTCATCCTCTGGGAGATTGCTAGGAGATGTGTATCAGGAGGTAAGTAACAGTGGTATCTTTGAAAAGCTACAGTCAGAGTTACCGCAAATGCTTTTTTTTATCCATCTGATATCAAAGTCACCATATTATCCATAAAATCAGACTTTCTTTTATTTTCCTGTTGATTTCTGTTGATATAATCATAATTCTCCTAGGAAATGAGATTTGACATCTTAGAATCATCTTTGATTGCCCCCTTTGGTCTACCTGCTACTGATGAGTCTCCTCAAGACACTGTCAGCTTCCTCTGCCTTTTCAAGGATCATCTTCTATGTGTATTGTCTCGTTTCTCTCTTGGGCCCTTTCTTCAATCATTGCTCCATAAAATCACACCCTCTTCCCTAACCTTTCAACCTCTTCCCCTCCAACCTGCTGGGTTCTATCTGAAATTCCAATGCCCAGTTCCTTGTGGTTTCCTCGCCACAGATGACAGTAGAGACATAAATGTGGACTGGGACACCCATTCTTTTTCTCCTCTATTTCTTTACTTCCTGTAAAACTTCCCCATAAAACAGGTTGAACACGTCAGTTTTTATCAAAAGGAAATTAAAGCATAATAATATGTTACTGTCCATCATAATAATTTTTTTTTCATGAAATAGAGGATTGATTCTAATAGCTGTAATTACAGTGCTTTTTTGTCGAAAACAGGAAACAAGTATACAAAACAGTTGATTACTAATGGTTTATTGAAAGCAGTCAGAGGTTCCACGGCACCAAATAAACCAGTTCTGAGGGGTTCCCCCTGAGATAAAGTATAACAGCTCCAGCTTCTTCAGTGTTTATCAAAATAGAAAAAAGTATAGAGGTTGACTTTTCTTGCTGGCAAATCTGACCCTTGCAGGATGAGGGAGTGGAATCTATGTCACACATGTACAGATAGCGGTGCTCCGACCGGCTGTGCTCTCTAGGTGGAAAGCTCGTAGCTCTCGTGCACTTCTGTGGGAGGCCCCATGCCCCTGGAGTCTGCTGCTCTGGCAAAGGTGTCTGAGTAAGCGGTGGGAGTAACGGGGCTCTCTGCTCTGGCAAGTGGTCACACAAAAGCACCACACACCTGACCAAGAGAAAGGTGGGTGGTGCTTTTCTTTCTTCTACATTGAGAGTCCAGAGGCCGCTGCCCATGCCACGGCCAGCTGCACAGTTTCCTGCTACGGGTCCTCTGAGCGGCTGTCATGAGGGGCCCAACGGCCCAACAGAGAGCCTGTGGTGCTCAGATGGTAACCTGGGTCAAGCACAGCCTCAAAGCTTGTTTCCTAGGTAACCGTGTGAGCACAAGTACAAGCACAAACGCCCTGTGACATACAAGATGATCCAAAGACAAAGCATAATTACAGGGATCTCTATTGTGACCATGCAGAATTGATTGTGGGTTTGTTTTTGTCACCTTGTCTCACATTCCCAAAGGGAAACACAGATGATCAGATGGACTAGTACTCAGGTTGTTACTGTAAAACCTACACTAGGCATATTTCTCCCTTGTGTGTGTTCAAGTGTTCTCCTTTATTTTTAGCTACTTCAAAAAATGCACTGAGTTCGGGTTAAAAACCAACCACCCAAATGGATCTCAACACAGGTCTCAGGCCGAGAGAGGGCCCTTGGTTCTTGTAGCACAGTGACCCCTGGGAGCCCAGGGCCAGTGTGTGGAAATCCCTTCTCAGTACTGAACAGTGACTTGATTTTTCTTTTTTACAATAAAAAAAAAGCTGAGTAATATTGCATAGGAGTACCAGAAACTACCTCATTGGAAACAAAAACTATTTACATTAAATAAAAAACCTGTTTGCAGGCTGTGTCTGCCACATTTACAGCATGGTGCATACACACTGTGACCAAACCCATGGAGACAGCTTCTGACACGCGACACCACAGAGCCGCACAGTTTGCCACATGAGAGTAAAGTGGAGGGAGAGGAGGCAGAGAGGGAGCAGGACAGGTCTCTGCTCATTTCTGGTTTTGGAGCTGATTGGACAACCAGTCCAGTCCTTCATAGAGCCCGTCTCTGCTGGTGGCACAGGTGGCCTGAATGTACCAGTTTCTGTGGTGCAGGGAGTGTAATCCCAGTTTATCGGTGACCTCAGCGGCGTTCGTGGGATTGGGAAGGTCCTGCTTGTTAGCAAACACTAGTAAGACAGCGTCCCTGAGCTCGTCTTCTGCCAACATCCTCATGAGCTCTTCACGGGCCTCGTTCACACGCTTCCGGTCATTGCTGTCA